TGAGTTTGTGAGTTTTGGAATTATGATTTGAGTGTGGAAAATTTGTATGGTTATGAGTTTTGAAAAGAGTTTTAAATTGAGTTTGAATTGAGTGATGCGACATATGATATTTGATTAAAAAATTTACAACTCATAACCAAATACACAACCTAAAATTTTATTCAAAGCTCATAAAAAAAATTTAAAATTTCAAAAAATATTTTTTATTTAATACATAAAAATAACAAGTGTCAATTGCAAAAAATATAAAATAATAAATAAATAAATAAATTTGCATTGTTTCGGTTAACCGGCCGAACGACTGAGTAAGTCAAATTTTAAAATTCAAATCCCGTCTGAAAAAAGTTTTCAAAAGTAATATGAAATTAATTTTTAAAAATTACAATCAAACACCATATTCAAATATAAGTGTGAATCAGGGTTGGTGGCCTGGTGGAGGATGCTGTGTGTTCCACAGCTGTGACCCAGGTTCGATTCCTGGGAGGGGGCTGTTTGTAATCTCAGCTGAGAGCTCGCCCTTTACTCCCCTCGTTCCTGGGCATGGCTGTGGCGCATGTCTGCCCTCCATTGGTGCCCTGGTGGTGGGTCCCCCACTTGGTGGGGGTTAATTCCTAGCTGGCAACCGGTTACCCTGGGGTTAGGGCCCACGGGGGGCGTGACCTCCACCGTCGATCCCCCTTTTTTATGATCAAAAAAAAAAAAAAAAATATATATAAGTGTGAATCATGATTATAAAAAGTGTGAATCATGATTATAACTCCTTTTCAAAAGTAATGTGTTTCTTGATTTCATATTTGGGCTGCCAAGCCCTAGATACTAGGACCATAGCAGGCTGGAAGTCTGTTATCAGTCAATATATACTTATCTACATTCAACTAAAGATGGCAAAGTCATCACGAATCCGGATCACCCGTCGCCTTATCCCTGTCGCCTTCCCCTGTCGCCCCCAAAACGACGTCGTTTTGGGGGCGACAGGGGAAGGCGACAGGGATAAGGCGACGGGTGATCCGGATTCGTGATGACTTTGCCATCTTTAGTTGAATGTAGATAAGTATATATTGACTGATAACAGACTTCCAGCCTGCTATGGTCCTAGTATCTAGGGCTTGGCAGCCCAAATATGAAATCAAGAAACACATTACTTTTGAAAAGGAGTTATAATCATGATTCACACTTATTATAATCATGATTCACACTTATATATATTTTTTTTTTTTTTTTTGATCATAAAAAAGGGGGATCGACGGTGGAGGTCACGCCCCCCGTGGGCCCTAACCCCAGGGTAACCGGTTGCCAGCTAGGAATTAACCCCCACCAAGTGGGGGACCCACCACCAGGGCACCAATGGAGGGCAGACATGCGCCACAGCCATGCCCAGAAACGAGGGGAGTAAAGGGCGAGCTCTCAGCTGAGATTACAAACAGCCCCCTCCCAGGAATCGAACCTGGGTCACAGCTGTGGAACACACAGCATCCTCCACCAGGCCACCAACCCTGATTCACACTTATATTTGAATATGGTGTTTGATTGTAATTTTTAAAAATTAATTCCATATTACTTTTGAAAACTTTTTTCAGACGGGATTTAAATTTTAAAATTTGACCTACCCAGCTGTCCAACCGGCCGGTCGACTGAAATAATGCAAATTTTTTTAAGTTCAATTGACACCTGTTATTTTTTATATATTAAATAAAATATATTCTCCAAATTTTTAAAAAAAATTATAAATTTTAAATAGAATTTTAAAAAATCGTGTTTCGTTATGAGTTTTTAAATCAAATATTATATGTCACATTAATTATTCTAATCTCAATTCAAAACTCTTTTCAAAACTCAGAACCAAACAAATTTTTCACACTCAAATCATAATTTCAAAACTCACAAACTCAAAATACAACTCTATTTTCAAATCATAATTTTAAAATTATACCAAACGCAATCAAAGATGGTCCAATAGCCTACGCCACCCCAAAAAAAAGAAAATAAAACTACCTACCATAGCTACAATTGCTATTAAGATGCCACCTGTACAAAAAATAAATATAATAATAAAAAAATAAACAAACTCCTCCAACCCATCAATCAGCCTCTAACAACAACATACTTCTAAACATGCATACCTTAAGATATATTGTAAAGAAGAGAAAACAATATACTCTGTTTTCGCATCTATCATCATTAATTCAAGAAGGAAATCCAAAGGGGAACAAGTTAATTGAATTCTGACAATCAATTCACAAAAGAAAAGCAAAGAAAGAACGTGCTCAGTTCTTTGCATCTATCGTTATTGATTCAAGAAGGAAATTCAAAGAAATAGTTGAATTTGACAGTCGTAGACAAAAGAAAAGCAAATGGGGGGAAAGAATATACTCTGTTCTTAGTTTATATCATCATTAATTCAAGAAGGTAATCCGAAAGAAATAAGTTAATTGAATTTGACAACCTTAGACAAAAGAAAAGCAAACAGGGGAAAGAATATAATCTTTTTATTTTCTATCATCATTAATTCAAGAAGGAAATCCAAAGGGACAGGTTAATTGAATTTGACAGCCCTATACAAAACAAAAGCAAACAGGGTAACCGAATAGGGCCAAGAGAGAGAGTGGAAGAGCCATCCGATTTGACTAATACATTTCTATTAGCAGGTATAATGTTCCGTTTTTACCTCTACCAAAAAGGCCACATTAAGTACAAAACCATAATGCTGCATGTCGAAAGGCAGCTTTCAACTTCTATAAATCTTGTCAGTTCTTCCTGTTTCAGAGCAAGATTATTAACCTGAAACATATGAAGGCTCGGGAAAAATAATAATAGAAGCAAATACATCATAGGGAAAAGAGCTAACAGATGCAGATAATGCCAATTCAATTGAATAGAAAACCATGCACCGATTCTTAACACATAGAACTAGTAACAACTAAAAGCCAACTAGAAAGTAGTTCACTACCGACAGCAACAAAATTAGTTTGTTTGCTTGAGTTCTACAGAACTTGTTTTTGATTTTTTTAAAAGAATTAGAAACTGCTTCATCATAAATAAACACTGAAACAGAAAATTTTAAATCTTTTGAGATTATTTCCTCCCAAAAAAGAGAAAATCACACAAAATCAAACACGAATCACATGTTCAGCAGCTTCCACACCAGTGGGGTGGGTTTTCTGTATGACCATGCAAGTTGCAGAAAAATATGAACATCAAACTGAATTGGTCATTTAGTTCACCGCGATGCACATTGAAATTAATTAGTCATTCTGTTCACTCTCTTTACAAATGCAACCCTCAAATCATGACAGGTTACTACTGTCCCAAGATATTAAAACAAAGTAGGATTACTTCCTTTTTCCCATTAAAAAAAGGACATTAATGTCAAGAGAGTACCATGAATTAAAATTGGTGGCCATGATAGCCACTAAACTTGGATGTCCCTTGAATTCAGCTTTTCAGCATCCTGCAAATCATCATCATTTCGAATCACATTGAATCACATAAAAATAAAATAATAACAAACAAACAAACAAACGAACAAACTTGCATTGCTTGAAGCAAGCACACAGGTTTTTAGGAAAGGAGTAAGGGAAGAATTAGTAATATCACTTCGCAGATGAGTACCACGTAAAGGTTGGAAAATCCACTTGATTATTTGTTGACATTCAGAGAGTGGAAAAAAAGAAGTTAAGGTTGGAAAATTTTGATCCGACTTCCATTATGGAGTTGATCAAAACCAAACAAACTACAGAAATTCCTTTAAATTTCTCAGAAGCTTTTATACAGAAAAACAAATTGAATGAAAATAATGTTATGTCGAGTATACAAACCATTTAAATTTGAGACTTCAAAACTAATGTAATTTTCAAAGCCATACAAGAATGAAAATAATGTTGCAAATTCAACAATGCTAATACAAGAATGAAAAGTTGAATTCTCCATTCACAATCAAATTTCTTTATTGATTGATCATTACAAGGGTTCTGAGAGCTTACTGCCATGCTAGCAAGTCAAAAAACAGATCATATAAGGATAATTGAACTATAGACGTGCGTATAAAAAGAAAGCACGTACTATTTGCTGTTGGCATCCAGTATATAATCTCATAGAGTGCAGTGGTCTCTCAAGACCTGCCTAGCTAGATCAAATGCCCCACTTGTTTTGTAAATCAGGTGCAAATTGTAAGCTGCTTCTCGCTGGAGATTACAATAACCAGCATTTTGATTTTCTAGACCCAGATTCTCGTATGGAAGCTTGGGAATGGGATAATCCTTAGGGTGAGTAGCAAGAACCTTTTCATAATACGAAGCTGCAAGAGAAACGAGGCCAACATGATGAAATGCCCGGGCTAAGTTATACAAGCTTTCCTGGCTATTATCACAAAGCCTCAGGTTGTTGAGTAGAAATGCTAGACCTTGTGCAACACATTGATGCTTGTTCTGAAGTCTTATATCAAAGGCTAAGTTGATTAAAGCACTGCCCACGCAGAGATTGATCAACGGACTTCCAGGCAGAAGTTTATAAGCTTCTAGATATTCTCTTGCAGCTGCTTGATGTTGGCTGATCATCGTGAATTGGTGCCCAGAAATAATTATAGGTGGCAAGCAATCTTTGTGCTTGTCTCGTATTCTCTGCAAAAATTTAGAGTGCTTGGAGTGGTAATTATCCAGTCTCAATATTAATTTGTAGTAGCAATTCCATGCAGCCCCGCTATAAGGATTCCGTAGAACAATGTCCCGTACAAAGTCAAACCCATATTTTGGATCCATGAGATTATATGCCATTTGAGCCCCAAGTGTCAAAAGTTCATCCTTGATGCCGACTTCCAATTTATTGGAAAGTAACCGCATAACAAGATTAATAATATCTAATGCTTCCCGGTATCTTCGCAATGTTGCCAATGCCTTGCATAAATCCATAATAAGCTGATGATGCTCTGCATCTTTCAGGAATTGGAGCAAGAGAGGCTTTTTCAGTGCCTTCTGTGGCGGCTCATCATCTGAATCTTCGCTTTGCCAATCCAAACCAGCAGCCAATGCTTTAGCTTTCATATCTTCCTTCAAATCTGACTTCTTTTGAAGCATCTTTTTAGCTCTAGAAGCTTTTAATAAGTCTGATGCACTAACAGTTGGTCTAAAACCGTGAAAGACAAGGTCAGTTTGATTATCATCCAGCACTCTGGCTCTTTCAGCAAGAACAGTTTTTGAAAGCTTTTTCTTTGCTCTAACCTCCGTATTAGAAGTTTCAATAATCAACGAATCACGAATCAAGGGAAAGATTACATCAACAAATTCCTCCAGCATCCCTTTAGCTTGATAAATATTTGCAAGCTTCAGCTTCACTTTCTCATTAAGCCACCATGGTTTAGTTTGACTGCTGGTTTCTAATGTCAAATCTTGATTATTTGGAGAAAGCAATGAAATTGCTTCATCTGCTTTCCCTTTCTCAAGAAGAAGAGAAGCCAAAGTTAACCGAGCATCAACACTGTCCTCAATTGTATTTATGGCTTTGTAGAAGAATTGGATTGCCTGGACTGTTTCCTCCAATGATAAATAGCATTCACCTATTTTGAAATGCAAAATGCCATGGTCATCTCTAGCACTTCCTTCTAACATCAGATAGTACTTCAATGCAGATTCATAGTGACCAAGAATCTTAAATGTATCTGCAACTTCAATAAGTAGATCAACATGGTCAAGTGCATTCTCCAACTGAAAAAACCCAAAAAGAGCCTCTGCCTTTTCCATATTTCCGAGATGAAGATGGCAAATTCCTGCCTTAGTTGCTAAATGCAAGGGCATTTCTTTCCCAGAACAGTATACGGATTGTGCAAGTTCAATATGTTGAAGAGCATTGACATATTCACCTTTTCCCATGCATATGGCTGCTAGCATATGAACAATGCTTAAATCAGCTTCGCTTGGATGACGTTTAAGATAGTCCTCCAGAACGCTGATGGAACGTTCGGTCTGGCCACAACTACTGTATAACTTTGCAGCTGCCTTACATGCTTCGGTATTCCCAGGAGAAAGTTGCAACATTAATGAATACAATTTAGCAGCTTTCTCACAATCCCCAAGCTCAATGTAAAGTGAAGCTAGATGAAGTTTAAGTGAAGTATCATCAGGATCAGCCATTACTGCTTTAGAAAGGCAGTACCGTGCCTGAGCAGTATTTCCTTGCTCTAAGGACCATGTTACGAGCAATTTCCACAGAGATGAATCCTTTGGCATCATTACCGCAGCAAGCATGTAGAAACTCATGGCTTTTTGCTTGTCACCAACTGCATTATAGACAAGACCGAGTGTATGATATGTTTCGGGCAAGTTAGGTGCAAGCCTAACAACTTCATTCAATACACCTATGGCCTCTGCGTAACGGCCATGTGCATAATGAAGAGTGCCCTCACCAAGCATTTGTGTCACTTCAGGACTAAGTTTATTTCTAGATCCCTTCGGCCTGCCTCTTTTCTTTATCTTCCTTGATTTTCGCCGACTACCATAATTCATGGCTTCCATTATTTCATCAATGTTCACACCAAAAAGATCATCTTGTCTGCTTTTCTTTGGCAACCCTTCACGATCCATAAATATTTTTCGCTTCTTTTCAGCAAGAGACTCATACTCAATGCGCTCAAATCGCTGATACGGTTGGATTCCGAAAGCATCATTCTCTGTGAAATCAAAAGGATTCATATCACCTTCAAATCTCATAGCAAACTCTCCATCTTCATTATTATGTTCTTGCTCTTGTCCTTCCTCTTCTTCTCTGTGAGCATCTTTCTCTGTGTCACTTTCCATGCCTTCAACTATGGCAGAGAGTTGAGCATCTTCATGACTACAACTGTTATTTCCTTCGTCCTCCATTGGGAAATAGAAGTTGGACAAATCCAAACTACTGAATCAACTTATGACGATCAAAAGGTGCTAACTTGAGTTGAATAGTCACTTTATAGAAGCTCACCATTCTGCATTTAGAAAATAAAATTAATTGTATGTGAGAGGTTTCCATCTCCATGTAAAGAAATGTTGTCTTACAGAGTGACAGATTAGTTGCCATGGTAACCACACCTCATTTTTCTCAAAGAAATGTCTTTGCAATAAATATATGTAAACAAATATATGTAAACACGGGTGCTCCTAATTTAGAGTTTATTGCATTTTCAAACAGAAGGATATGTCAGACATGAAAGCTACATTATAGATTTTGTGCTTAAAAGGGCAGGCAGAAAAGAGAAAAAGATTTTTTTTTTTTTGAAAAAAAGAAAGAAAAGAAGTAAGCCCTAGTCACTTGTCAAGAAACTCTAATGAACAGTTATTTCTAGATCCCTTCGGCCTGCCTCTTTTCTTTATCTTCCTTGATTTTCGCCGACTACCATAATTCATGGCTTCCATTATTTCATCAATGTTCACACCAAAAAGATCATCTTGTCTGCTTTTCTTTGGCAACCCTTCACGATCCATAAATATTTTTCGCTTCTTTTCAGCAAGAGACTCATACTCAATGCGCTCAAATCGCTGATACGGTTGGATTCCGAAAGCATCATTCTCTGTGAAATCAAAAGGATTCATATCACCTTCAAATCTCATAGCAAACTCTCCATCTTCATTATTATGTTCTTGTTCTTGTCCTTCCTCTTCTTCTCTGTGAGCATCTTTCTCTGTGTCACTTTCCATGCCTTCAACTACGGCAGAGAGTTGAGCATCTTCATGACTACAACTGTTATTTCCTTCGTCCTCCATTGGGAAATAGAAGTTGGACAAATCCAAACTACTGAATCAACTTATGACGATCAAAAGGTGCTAACTTGAGTTGAATAGTCACTTTATATAAGCTCCACCATTCTGCATTTAGAAAATAAAATTAATTGTATGTGAGAGGTTTCCATCTCCATGTAAACAAATGTTGTCTTACAGAGTGACAAATTAGTTGTCATGGTAACCACACCTCATTTTTCTCAAAGAAATGTCTTTGCAGTAAATATATGTAAACAAATATATGTAAACACGGGTGCTCCTAATTTAGAGTTTATTGCATTTTCAAACAGAAGGATATGTCAGACATGAAAGCTACATTATAGATTTTGTGCTTAAAAGGGCAGGCAGAAAAGAGAAAAAGATTTTTTTTTTTTTTTGAAAAAAAGAAAGAAAAGAAGTTAGCCCTACTCACTTGTCAAGAAACTCTAATGAACAGCCTACAAAGCAATTTTGTCAATCTATAGCAGCTTGGTTTGGTGCACACATAGATTAGGTCACTCTAAATCACACATTACACTTGTGATTTCAAAGAGGTTTCAAGCAATCTCAAAAAGTTTTTAAACAAATTTGAAGCAATCTCAACTAATCTCAAGCAATTTTAAGCAAATTTTAAGCAATTCACCATCATCATAAAGACGATTTCTTTCAGAAAGACAAATACCTCGACTTGAAGATGCGTGATGGATTTCAAACGATTTCAGTAATCTCAAGCTTCATCTTGTTCATCTGATTACTTCGTCTTACGGTTTGTCTGTGCTTCGTCTTCATGTTCTCCATCAGAAAGACGATTTGAAGGAGTCGATCTCAAGAGTTTCGGGTTTCTCAGATGGATCGAAGATAGAGAGATCGAAAGGGTTTAGGGTTTTGGGAGAGAGAAAACAGAGTGAAGAGAGACGCTGGGATAATCTGGTGGAGATAGAGAGAGAAGATAGCAGAGAGCGAGAGAGAACTCCCTAGGTTTGAAAAAAATGGGAAGTTTTTAATTTTTTATTCAATTTTTTGAAAATTAAATTTTTTATTTTTTTAAATTTTAAGTAATTTTATTTAATACACCTTATTTGAATATATTTTAAAAATAAAAAATTATAAAATAATATTTTTAAAATTTAATAAATATTTAAGAATACAAAAAATATATTGAATTCTTGTATTTTTTTTTATATTTTTGGTATTTAGTGAATTTTTTAAAGATTTTTTTTATAATTATTATACCTTTTAAGCATATTTATATTAGGTGTATTTAAAAATTAAAAAAATACTTAGAATATTAAAAAAATTCAGTAAAAATAAAAAAATACGAAAAACAAAAAAATTTAATTTTCTGAAAAATGAATTCTAAAAATCCAAACTAAACAAGCTAATAACTCCCATAATTTTGATACAATTATAGGAAAACACAAAAATAAAAAACATAATTAATGATAAAAATGAGATTAAATAAGTATTATATAAATTAAAATTTCAAGAGAGTTTAATGTAATTATGTCAAAAGTAGGACCAAGTATTATATGAATTACAATCTTAAACAAGCTTAGCCTCCGTTTGAGAAATGGGTTGGTTTTTTAGTTTTTTGACTTTTTTTGCTATTTTAGTCTGGGGCTAAAAAGCTTGATTTGGGAAGAGCTTTTTGACTTTTTGACTTTTTTTGTGAGAGGGGAGTGTAATGATTATGGATTGGATTTGATGTTTTGTTTTTTGTGGTTAAAATAGCCTATTTTGTTTTTTTGTGGCTATTTTAGCCCCTAACCCACCAAAACCAACTTCCCAAATATAATTATGTAAAAAATGGAATCAAGTATCATATGAATAAAAATATCAAGAGAATTCAATGCAATTTTTCAAAATTATGAGTTTTATTGTAATTTTTTTTTTTTTCAAACGTTAACTGAGTTCAATGAAATGGGCTGTGATAGAGAGTTCTAAAAGTAGAGTTTTAAATAGATTTCTACTAAGCTGGCATTGAGAAAGAAAAAAAAGGTAAATTATAAATACATTCCTTGAGGTCTGATTAAAATACGAATCGCCCCATATAGTTTTGAAAATAATATTCTATCCCCTAAGATTTCTAATTTCATAACAAATCACACATTTTATTAATAAATTATCAAGTCAATTAATAATTTTTTAATGATGTTAAAAATATGTTTTAATTAATAATTTAGGTAATTTCATTTTTGTATAGGAGATCAACTATGAATTTTATTTTTTTAATTAATTCTGTTAAATAAAAAATTCTAATAATGAGATATTTGTAATTTTTTCAAACCACAGAGAATAATCTGTATTTTAAACAAATCTCAAAAGATGTATTTATAATTTATCTAAAAAAACTAAAACATCACGTCATATGTGGGTCTCTCCCCATCAGAGCTCCAAAACATTTTTGCAATGAAATTATTATGGCTTGTTTTAATAAGTTGGTAGCTGCTAACTTTTTGATTTTTTTTAATTTTTTTTTTTTGAAAAAACGTGTAAAAAAATAGAGAAGTGATGTAACCAAAAATAGATTAAAGTAAAAAAGTGAAATTATTATGTAAAAAATGAGACTTATATGAATAAAAATTCAAAGAGTTTAATGTAATTATGTCAAAATTATGAGTTTTATTATATTTTATTTAAACTTCGAGGGAGTACCCAATAAAAAAAATAGGGAAATTACAAGAAAAAAAATACAAAACAAAATAAAATAAAATAAGGTATAATTGATATTTAAATACATTATGTATACTTATATTAAGTTTAATAATTAAAATGTTATTTTTTTATCTTTTTTAATTAATATAAATAAATAAATAATTTAGATTAAAAATTTCAAATTCAAATCAATAAAATTAAAAACTATATTTTGTTATAAAAGTGATGGGGTTATTTTGAAGTTTTTTGAAAATTCAGTTTTTTGATTTTCGTGTTTTTTTGTTTTTAGTGAATATTTTTAAAATTTTAAATATTTTTTTTACTTTTTTAGATGCACCTTATTTGGATGTATCTAAAAAGTAAAAAACTTGTGAAAAAATATTTTAAAATTTTAATAAATACATAAAAATAAAAATAAAAATGTACTAAATTCTAGTATTTTTTTATATTTTTGGTATTTAGTGAATTTTTAAAAGAATTTTTTCACAATTTTTTTACTTTTTAGGTATATTTATGTTAAATATATCTAAAAAATAAAAAAATTACTTAAAATATTAAAAAATTGAGTAAAAACAAAAAAATATGAAAAATAAAAAAATATAATTTTCTGAAAAAACACAATCAAGCAAGCCGATTAATTTCTCTACTAGAACTCTCTATCTGACCTTTGTAATTGTCCAAAAATTATTGAACGCTAGAAGGAGGGCTTGAACCTCCGACCTTGTGGTTAACAGCCACACGCTCTAGCCAACTGAGCTATTCCAGCTTTAGTGGTTGTCATTTCATTTGTTTTATATATATAGATATAATATGTTTGGTTGTAGTTTTGATTTATGTATTTTCAAAAACAAAAACAATGACAAGGTCGAAAACATCATTTTCATTTTTCGGGTTTTTTTTTTTTTATTATCTTAAAAGTAACTTATTTATTAGTGTTTCCTAAAAAGTTTGAGTTTTTTTTTTTTTTTTAATAGTTTTTCAAAAATAGCACCAAATAAGATTGTTGTGTTTTCCAAAAAAGAAAATAGAAAATAAAAAACTAAAAACCCAAACATAGCCTTGTTATCTTAAAACCAATGTTAATTATGAAAAGGTAATTAAAAAGCAACATTTGTGTTCACCATGTATCGTTCATTTTCCATTTAATAAAAATAGGCACAAATATGATAGATAGGACTGTGCAAAATACCACAAAATCCGTTAAAATCACACTGATTCGCATCAAATATGGTGGATAGGGCTGTGTTTAGTTGGGAAATTTGGGAAGAGATTTGGAGAGGGAAAAGGAAAACGTAGGTGAAATTTGAATAAAATATGCTTACATTTCACATAATTTCACACACTTTTTCCATTTCCCTTTCCAAATCTATTTCCAAATCCCTAAACCAAACACGACGTAAAATTCATAATCCACCTTCGAAATCGCATCACTTTGCTCTGCTCCGCTATAATTAATATATATATATATATATTTTAATCTCTAATGAAATATCAAAGTAAAAATAACTGTGAGAGAGATTTAAAATATGAAATTTGTAACAAATTAATAGTTATATATATAAAACATATTAAGTAAAATTAGCTTGTGTTATACATATGAAAAATATTATGTAAATTAGAATTATATATTATACAAATATTTGATAATTGGTTAGAATATTCTTCAATCTGTCCAAAATCGCCCAAATTGTTATTTACCAATTTATTAATCCATCATTTGACCTATAATTTTACTCTCAAACCGTTCAAATCGCACAACGCACACCCCTAATGGTGGGCATGACATGTTCTTTTTGGAAAAGGTTAAAACTAGTAAATATAACCTTTTTTAACAGCTTAAATCACATATGATTAGGGCTTTAGCTTCTTATTAGAAATAATCCTCACATGTGAAAGTTTGGCTCATGAATGAATATGGAACTGAGGGAATTAATGAAAAAGCTCATTGATCTGAAAATAGTTACAAATGAGTTAATTTTTCTCAAATTCAATTTGCCAACCAAAGGACTTATTGAAGTTGTGAACATGAAACAAAAATTAAGATGTGATGTCTATGTTTGAATCAATCACAAAATCCAAACCAAAAATAAAAGGAAAAGAAGGGAACTTATTATATGTGGATAAGTTACTATTAGAGAGAGAGAGAGAGAGAGAGAGAGAGAGGATAATTCTCTCATGTTCAGGCTATATTTGGAAAAGTGATTGAAATATTTTTTTTTTTATTTGTTTTTCTTTCTTTCTTTCTATACAAATCACTTGGCAAATTAAAGATCTAAACAAAACATAAATTTTCCAACTAGGGATTTTTTTGAAGTTGTGAACAAAATGCAATATATAGATTCGAATCTTTTCGATTCCATGCAACACCTTGCCTCCATATTTCCACTTCCAATGACAAAACAAAAAATAGAAAACATAAAAAAACTAAAATATGAAAGGAGTAAGGAGTTATTGTAATTGGAAGACTTGTGTCAAATGAACTAATTGTTGTTCAAGAAAATGAGCAACCAAAGCCTACAACAAATTTTAAACCTTGTACATCTTTTGGGTAGGGAATTGAAGTTAACTTAAGGTATGGTGTCCTAGTTTTGAAAACCCATCAATAGTTTTTAGGTTTTGAAATCTTGGTGATCAAAGATTTAAAAGTCATGTCAAGTGCCAAACACACACCCCACATGTCATGAGCCAATTGTGAAGTCAAAAGTAAATCCAATGGAAGATATGAAGAAATCCATGACAATACCACGAAGTTGGAGTTGGGGGGTTAATAAACCCTTTGAATTGCTCCCTATTCTACAGTTTTTTGAAGTAATACTCCCATTGGTGCTTCTTCATGAAGAAAAGAATGTTCACAAGGCCACATCCCTTGGCAAAACAAAATATTTTTTGTCAAAAGCATCCATCTTCTGTTTTATTTATTTATTTATTTTTAAGGGGGTAACTCAAGAGATAATCAATTACATATATGAGAATAATAACATCAAACATGACAAAGTATATATTGTCTTGGTGCAACTTTTGTGACTGCTTATAACTTTTTCATTTTTATTTTTATTTTTTAAATATGCGCCAAAATATTGTATAATTTCTGCCCACAGTTATGATTTATGAGATAGAAATACTTAAATAAATTGAAAAATAAAGAGTTGATTATTCGGAGTTAGGGGAAGTGGTTTTTTTTTTTTTTTTTTTTCTACTTTCTAATTATTAACTTTTAATTACAAAAATTATACCAAACAGGCTTATGTATTTAGAAGTTTAATGGGAGTAAATAAACAATTCAATACAATAAACGAGTCTCATAATAGGGGGGTTTAAAA